TACTCTTAAACTCAAGGCCACTAGAGTCAAGAATCCCTAAGGAGGAGATGAGGTTTCTCCTCAATGTGGGAACAAATCTAACTTCTTTTAAAATTTTACAACTCTCATCACCCATCTTGAACATAACAGACCCCACACCTTTTATCTCACACACTTGGTCATTCCCCATTAAGACTTTGCCACCTCTTTGAAACTCCAGCCCACTAAGCCACTCTTTTATGGGTGTCATATGATATGTGCACCCAGAATCCATCACTCATTCAGTCTCAAAGGTTTTATCAGACAAAACCAGTGCCTCAACACTGTCAAACTTAGTGAGTACATTTGCATACTCAGGTTTACTTTGCTGTTTAGGGACACTTCTTGGATTTTCAGGGCAGTTCCTTTTCAGATGGCCCTTTTTATGGTAGTGCCAGCACACAACTTTGGCTTTTGGTTGACCTTTACCCTTATTTTGGTTTCCCTGGACACTTTGATTACCTTGGGGAACATTATTATTGTTCCCCTTACCTTTATTGTTTGACTTTCCCTTTCCTTTAACATAGAGACCTTCAGCAGTGGGCTTTTTGTGATAAATTATTTCAACTTCTTTAGCCCTCAAGGCCTTAGTAATTTCGTCTAAAGCCATATCCCCCTTACTGTATTCTATAGCTTCCTTGACCCTTCTGTAGGAGTCAGGAAAAGAATTCAAGAGGATCAATATTTGATCCTTATCAGAGACAACAGCCCCTCATTCTCAAGTTGTAGAGTTAACTTATTAAATTCATTTAAGTTATCCTCTAGACACTTACTAGGGTCCATCTTAAAAGAAAAAAATCTTTCCTTTAAGAACATTTTGTTGGGGGCTGACTTGGTTTGATGCTCACTCTCTAACTTCACCCAAAGCTCATGAGGGTTGGTGATCTTGCTAACCCTACGCAGTACACTGTCAGAGATATTAACAACTATCAAGCTATGGGATAAAGATAACAGGTCTTTCCTTTCTTCTGGTGTCATGGTTTCTGGCAGGTACTTTTTAGCTCCAATTGCATCTTCACATTTTTGTTGGACCAAAACAGCTTTCATCTTAATTTTCCACATTAAAATCACTTCTCCCATCAAATTTCTCCACCTCCAGCTTAGTGATGCCCATCTTGCCGAAGCTCCACAACCAAGCAAGCAAACCAAATGGAAGAGGGGGAAAGGTATGACAGACAAAAGAAAAGAACAGAAAGGGAATTGGAACCTAAGCTCTGATACCACTTGTTGAATTTTTGGGAATATTTTTCCCAAACAATAAATATTAGAACAGACCAAGAAATGTAAAAGAATTCATAAAGAAAAGAGACACAGGATTTTACAGGTTCAGAAACTCAGTGTTAGTGAGTTTCCTACGTCTTGGGACCTAAAGAGTGTTAAACGCCCTCTGATATTGCACTTTATTCAAATCAAGAATTAGGAACAGAGTTTGAAGCATACAATTTCAGATATACAAGAATTAAAACATATGAAGAAACTTCAATGTGTAAACAGATTAACAAGAAACAGAACCTTGAAACAAACCATCAAGATTCATATACCAGTAAAGAAAATTATAAAATCAGAGCTAAAGAAAATAGAGAGCACTTCCCAATCTTCGTGAACCAGCAAAGGAAACGTTGTTCCTAAAACAAGATCTACAAGCTCACCACTAGCAGCTTCAACGATCTTCCTCACGAGATTGAACTCTCCAACTCTTTGAACACTAATCAGAAATGTGCACCGATCAATAGAATCGTCTTGTTGAGCTGAACAAGATTCTCCAAAACGCCAAATGCAAATTCACAATATATCACTCAACATTTTGCAAATGATATATTCACTCACAAACCCTAATAAATAGATATGAGAGAGTTTTCAAGATGAGAGAAATAACAGATTTTGCATGCTTAACTTTTATGAACTCGGCTAAATAGCAACTTAGCCTTCACAATACAAAACGAAGACGTTTTGATTGTGTTGCTGAACAATGCCCACAACTCCAACTACAGCTGACCAGCAAATAAGATAATAGGCCTTAGGAACCTCATTGGCCCAATAACATGCATCAGATAAATGGATTAGTCCAATAAGCAAATAATAGAAAGAAAAAACTCAATGTTTATGAAATACTTACTACAAAAAGGAAACATAATTAAAATATACCATTAGAAAGAGAAAATATTATGAACTTAGCTTTAAGCATACATAGTAACGTGATGCAGTGTATGCTTCTTCCCACTAATTAAAATATTAGAGCATGTTTGGTGATCAGAAAGGAGAGAATAGGACACGACAAATTCTAAGAAGCAGAGGGAAAAAGAAAAGAAGTGCATAATCAATCTAATCAACAATATATAAATTAATGAAGGGGAGGAGAAAAAAATAGATGTGTTTGTTTGTTTGTTTTTTTTTTTTGCATGTCATCATCATCTTTCACACTCTTAGAATTTCTTACACTAGCCATAAAACCATTTCTTCCTAGAGATTATCATTTTTTAGCATTTGATGCATTGCTACTACTAGCTATTGAACTACTATAAAATCGTCCTTGAAAGGTAATATATTTTTACCCAACAGTTAGAGACATAATGGTAGAAAAAAAAACTGGATTAAACTTTCATAATTGTATAGTATCAATGCAAATAATTTTAATTCTCATAACAATATTACATTCAGTTATATAGCAAGAGATATTTGAAAGGATGAATATGTTTCAATTGAGTAAGTAAATAAATGTAGAACACTAAAATAAAGAAAAAGACATATAAGCCCAAAACTCTACACATAAATAACATGTCACAGTGGGGATTCACTAAGTCACTAATAAAATCAGCACCAAAGAGGAAAAGGTAAACAGATTCAAATCTACACTTGAAGGGGTGATGGCATGGGTAATTGAAAATTTGTTATATTATGTTTTTTGAATAATAATATTCCTAAAGTAGCATATCTTCTTCATTTCAGTAAACCAATATAAAATGGGGAAAAATGTTTGTCATTTTAAATGACATAACACTTTGTCCTTTTAAGAGAGAGACAGACACAGAAAAAAAATTATTTAAATTTTAAATTAAAAAAAACCACTCACTTTCTCTCTCCCATGATTTTCACTTTTCTGTGTCTATCTCTCTCCTAAAATGACAAACACCAAACCCTATAAAATGATGAGTTATATTTATCTCATTTTACATGAGAGAAATAATTTTCCTACACATATAAAAGAAGGGTGGGTCCCACCACTCTTTTTTTCTCTCTCATCTTACCTGTGGGTCCCACTTATAATTTTATTTCTACCTACAACATAAGAAAAGAATTTCCCTGATACACAGACGTGAATTCTAAAGGATATAAGATTGCTCAAAACTACATGACCAAGCTTCAAAATATGATAGAATAATTTTTAACACGATACGCTTATACAACACAAAAACCTTCCAAATTGGATGATTGACTTTGAAATCAACAATATTACTCAAACTCTTTGTTCACTCCAAAAAGAAGGGAATGGTAAGTTGTTGCTTTTACCATGGTGATAAATTTTAACACGATCCACTAATGCACTGCGAAAAATTCGTGTTTGAATTGACCCGTTTTCAAATTCATCTCGTGTTTGTGTTGACAAAATTAATATGAAAAAATTCGAATCGTGTTGCATGTCATTCTACAAGCACGAAATTGATCCAAATTAATCTTCATATAGATTATTCGTGTAGTGTTATGTCATTTTGTGCCATGTTGTGTGGTGTCAATACGACATTGGCGAAAACAATATTTTATATATAAATTATTCGTGTATTATTGTATCGTGTCAACTCATATAAAAGTAACATGCTTTAAATTAGTAGGTTATTCATATCATGTCGTGTTAACTGACATAATAAGTGATTTACTTTGAAATTGACAGATTATTCGGGTCGTGTTATTTGAATCCATAAAAAACGTAGGTTGTGTTCTATCTAAAGTTTTCATCCATTTTTAGATTCGTGTCATATTTATGTTGAGAATATTAGTTTTTATGTTAAATTTGTGTTGTGTCGGGATACGAATTGCCACCCTAATTTTTATTTACATTAAAATTTTCGTATTAAATAATCAACAGAGAACTAAATGAAATATGAGTAAATATTTTTTTGCGTCCTCAAAAAAAAGTATGGACCCATTTTAATTTCTTAGAAAAAAAAGTATATATATCAGTCCATTTTGAGAAATTTATGAGTCTTTTTTGAATTTCTAAGGATCACAATTTCAAAAAATTGGAATTTCATAGAAATCATGAGTCGACTCTTTTCTAAATAATTAAAATAAATTCCGTATTTTTTTTTTTTAAGGATACAAAGTTATATTTAGGAAAATATTACTCTCATGTTACATGAGAGTAATTCTCTCATGCTATGGAGAGAATCCAAGTAGGGCCCACCATTAAAAAGCAAAAAAAAAGAAAAAAAGAGGGGATGTAATTTTCGAAGTGAGAGAACATGAGATAATTATCTCATATAAGAGATATGTTATTCTACCTACTATTTTTTCTGCTTACCTCTACCTATCTCTACCTACCTCTACCTACCACCCTTCAACACTGCTAGATCAGAATCTCAAGAAGAGAGAGAAAGATAAATGTTAGTTAAGATTCTGATCTAACGGTGTTGGAGAGTGGTAGGCAGAGGTAGGTAGAAAAAATAGTAAGTAAAATAACCTATCTCCTCGTGTATATTGAGAGTAGTATTTCCCTTATATTTATTGACGAAATATTATAGTGCCCAAAGTACAATTTTGTTACGCATCGTCTGCAACAAAAGTATCATAGGGCCCAAATACACACAATGTTAGAGAAAAAAAATAAAAAAATAAAAAATAATGAAAACATCATCGACATCTTGCATGTAATATGAACGCTCAACACACTATCGTATGAGTAAGAAAAACTAACAGGTCAATTCTCGATTCCTGAAGCAACAAGATTCTCCAATAGCATATAACTAATTTTATAAATAAAATAAAAAAATTAAAACCTTTGAGAGTTGGGTTTTGGCGAAGAAGCCAAGTAACAAAGAAAAAGATGAAGAAAGTTGAGAAGGGTCGGAGTCGGACCTTCCCGGTGGATCCGAATGTGCCCAGATGGGTTTGTCAGAACTGTCGCAACTCTCTCTGCATCGTCGGCGTCGATTCGTACGCCGACAAGTTCTTCAGCGATCCATCTCGCTCCGGTTAGGGTTTTTTTATTCGTTAATTATTGATTCAATTCTGCAATTCACTGATTCTTTGTATATGAATTTAGGGGAGTGTTAATCTCTTGGAATATTGATGTTTATCTTGAATTAGTTTTAAAAGAACATTGAATTGAAGAATATTATTGCAATTATTCAGTCAATTAAGAATGGTTATGATGATTTATTCTTAATGAAGAGGTAATGAATGAATGCATGTAGGGATGCAAGGATCATCCATTCATGGTGCCAGCAGTGTAATGAGTACAACTAAAATGGACAATTCGTATGTGGTGTTGCCAAAGCAAAGACCTCAGGCTCAAGGGGTTCCTCCTCGGCCTCGTGGCGGAGCTGGTCAGTCTGATTCCGCCATGCCTGGAAAGGCAATGGAAGAGTCGTTTGTAGTTGTGGACAAGTCTGAGTCTGCATCCGATGGAAGCGGGACCAGCTCGTCGATGCCGGGGGCTGATCCTGGTGGTCATTTGCCGCCTCATAACTCTGGATTCAACTCGACCATTACTGTCCTGACTCGGGCATTTGAGATTGCCACGACGCAGACGCAGGTTTGCATACGGAAACCTATAGTTGGTTTGATTGATTTCGAGGCAATTGGGTCATAGTCTGTATATGTCTGCATGAGGTTCCAGGTTGAACAGCCTATGTGCCTTGACTGCATGAGGGTGTTGTCTGATAAGCTTGATAAAGAGGTTGAAGATGTGAACAGGGATATTGAAGCCTACGAAGCCTGTCTTAAACGCTTGGAGGGGGAAACTAGAGATGTCCTCAGTGAGGCTGATTTTCTTAAGGAGAAATTGAAGGTGCTCATCAGGTTTACTATCTCCAATGTGTATATTACTTTACTATTTCTTATGGATTTTAACCACTAGCGGTAATAATTTTGGAGAAAAATCAGAGTATTCATAACTTCTGTTGACTACTGTTTGAAACAATGGCCATGACATGTTTTCGTGCGATATTGGTTTTATTTGGACACTTGTTCCAATTTGGAAGCATTTCAAATTTATTTTCCTTGATTGCATGGAGAAGGGATGACATCACACCATGATAATCTATTGTGAACTGTTAGGTAAATAATAACATATGCTATTGCGAGGATAAATACACACCTGAAAAATTCACCTGGATACTATTTCATGTTGTTTCTAATTTCATTAAGGCTCCCAAATCTACCAAGAGCCATGGTTACTTGATTTTGTAGCTATACTTCATATAGTTGTTCCATGATCAGTTATTTGTGACATCACTTCTCCCTTCACATTTTTTCTCTCTCTCCTTGTAGTAGTTATGTATGTAATTATGTATGTAATATGTATACCAGAAAGCCAGAAAGCAAAGTTAATTTTTTTCCGTATCTATTAGAAATGTTAGAATATTAGATATGATATGATTAGATATGATTAGATATGATTGGATTCCGTCTTATCCGTAAATATTCTGACTGTATTCTGACTGTATTAGGATTAGGTTTGGGCCTTTCACTTAAGCCCATTAGGGTCTCTATATATTGTAACTCTGACACAGATCAATACACAACATATTATTCTTCTATTGTTTTATATTAAAGTTGGTATCAGAGCTCTTTCGTTCTGGGAACCCTCGCTTCCGCTTAGAAACCTTGTTTTTTGCTTTAAAACCTAAGCCCACTGCTTAGGAGTCCTCTTTCTTGCCGTGCGTCCTTCCGACAAGCCTTCTAGGACTGTAAACAGCCTCTGAGTGATTTTTCCAAACGCGTCAGCACCTCCGACGGCCACCGGAACCACCGCCCACCATCAGAATCACTGTTCAGGTAACCAGAGACTTTTTCCGGCGACTTTTCCGACCAAACTTCACGCGATCAGGACCCTCTCTTCCCGGCGACCAGGTCTGTGGTGGTCCGGTCAGCAACGCATCTCCCACGCGCCGTCACGCGCCACCTGTCTTCTCTGCGCGTGGGCTTCACGCGCCACCTTCTGCCGGCGCGTGAGCACTATTCCGGCGGCTTTTTCCGGCCGGTCTTGGACAGAGAAGCTCGCCTTCTCCTCCCCTTTCTGGATCTGTGATTGTTTCTCTGTGGGTCTGACCTTAGACGCGTGGTTCTTCTTGATTGGATATCGTTTGCCTTCGTTTACGGCTTTTATATTTTATCTTTAAATGGCAGCAGCATCTCCTGATCTCTCGGAGGTTAACTCTCCTTCTATTGTTGCAAATATAGCTCAGTCAGACAATGCATCATTTGGTTCAGGTTCGGACTATGCTGCACTCCAAACCCCTCTCAGGAAGGCTTTTCCTTAGTCTCAGCCTTATACTGGTAATCCTGTTGCTTGTGTTTCTCATTCTACATCACTTGGCACTTGGATATTTGACTCCGGTGCTACCGATCATCTCTGTGGTAATAAGGAACTCTTTACATCTCTTACTTATTCTGATCATTTACCGTCTTTTACCCTTGCGGATGGAACCAAAGCCCCAGTTTGTGGGATTGGACAAGCTCGTCCGACCTCTACCTTGGCCCTGACATCTGTCTATTACATTCCTGGCATCCCTTATAACTTAATTTCTATTAGTAAGTTGATCCACTCCCTCACTTGTACCATTACTTTCTCTAACCATTCTGTTTCTGTGCAGGATCCGGGTACGGGGAAAATGATTGGAGTGGGTCGTGAGTCACGAGGGCTTTATTATCTGGATGTGCCTCGTCCTTTAGTAGCATGCTCTCTCACAGAATCTCCACAACTTATCCACAGTCGCCTTGGTCATCCAAGTCTTTCAAAGTTGCAGAAAATGGTTCCTCTTTTGTCCGGTCTTCAGTCTTTAGATTGTGTGTCATGTCAACAAGGGAAGCATACACGCTCCTCTTTTGCCAGTCGAGTCAATAAACGAGCTGATGCCCCTTTCTCTCTTGTTCATTCAGATATCTGGGGTCCAAGTCGTACCTTGTCTGTCTTAGGTTTTCGGTATTTCGTTACCTTTATTGATGATTTTTCCCGTTGCACTTGGACCTATTTAATGAAAAATCGTTCCGAGCTATTTTCAATTTATAAAAAGTTTTCTACTGAGATCCATACTCAATTTGGTGTTTCTATTCGTATTCTACGTAGTGATAATGCTAAGGAATATGTTTCTATTGATTTTTCTAATTTCTTGGCCACACAAGGTACTTTACATCAAACTACTTGTCCTCACACTCCACAACAAAATGGGGTGGCTGAACGTAAAAACAGACATCTCATTGAAACTTCCCGTACCCTTCTTATTCATATGCAGGTTCCCCTTCACTTCTGGGTAGATGCTGTACTCATCTCTTGTTTTCTCATCAATCGCATGCCTTCATCTGTGCTCCACAATGACATTCCTCATAATCTATTGCTTCCAGATGTTCCTCTTTATCCTCTAACTCCACATGTCTTTGGTTGTACTTGTTTTGTTCATGATCTCACTCCTGGTAAGGATAAGTTAACATCCAAAGCCTTTCAGTGTATCTTTCTTGGTTATTCTCGTCTTCAAAAGGGTTATCGTTGTTATTCTCCCGACCTTAAGCGTTACTTAGTTTCCGCTGATGTCACTTTTCTTGATCAACAACCCTTTAATTCTATCCCATCTCAGATGTCACAGGTTGATCATGTACTTCCTGTCCCTTTTCTTGACTTGTCTTTGCCAGCTGCAGGTGCTTCTATTCCAGATGAGCAACCTATTGCTTCTATACCTGAGGACCGTCCACTTCTCACCTATCAGCGTCGCAAAACTGTGCCTCCTGTCGACTCGACTCTTGCTGACTCATCGCCCACTGTTGTTGCTTCTTCCCCTCCGGATCCTTCATCAGAGACTCTTCCCATTGCTCAAAGAAAAGGTACACGTACTACTCGTAACCCTTATCCTCTTTATACCTTTTTAAGTTATGACCGTTTTTCTTCACCTCATTTCACCTTTGTTTCTAGTCTTTCTTCTATTTCTATTCCTAAGACCACAGGTGAAGCACTTTCCCATCCAGGGTGGCGCCAAGCAATGCTTGATGAGATGACTGCACTTCATTCCAATGGCACTTGGGACCTTGTTTCTGCTCCTCCAGAGAAGTCTATAGTTGGTTGTCGCTGGGTTTTTACTGTGAAAGTTGGACCTGATGGCCATATTGATCGTCTCAAGGCACGTTTAGTTGCCAAGGGTTTTACTCAAATCTTTGGCCTTGATTATAGCGATACATTTTCTCCGGTCGCTAAGATGGCGTCAGTCCGCCTCTTTCTTTCCCTTGCTGCTGTTCGTCACTGGCCACTCCTTCAACTTGACATCAAAAATGCCTTTCTTCATGGTGATTTACAAGAAGAAGTTTACATGGAGCAACCACCTGGTTTTGTTGCTCAGGGGGAGTCTGGAAAGGTGTGTCGTCTTCGGAAATCCTTATATGGTCTCAAGCAGTCTCCTCGAGCATGGTTCAGTCGCTTCAGTTCTGCTGTTCAGGCGTTTGGCTAAATCCGCAGTAAAGTTGACCATTCTGTGTTTTATAGGATTACATCTCCTGATAAGTGTATCTATTTGTTAGTCTATGTTGACGACATCATTCTCACCGGAAGTGATCAAGACGGAATTCGTCAGTTAAAACAACATTTGTTTAGTACATTTCAAACAAAGGACCTTGGGAAGCTGCGTTACTTCTTGGGAATTGAGGTGGCGCAATAGACAGGGCATTTCTATCTGTCAAAGGAAATATGCCCTGGATATCCTAGAAGAAACTGGTATGTTGGGGAGTAAACCAGTTGATACACCTATGGATCCTAATGTCAAGTTATTGCCCGGACAGGGGGAGCCGTTATCTGATCCTGGACGTTATCGGAGGCTAATTGGGAAGCTCAACTATCTTACTGTGACTAGGCCAGATATTTCTTTCGCTGTTAGTACGGCTAGTCAGTTTCTTGATTCCCCTTGTGATTCACATTGGGATGCTGCTGTGAGGATCCTCCGATACATCAAAGGAGCACCAGGAAAAGGTTTGTTGTATTCAGATCAGGGAAATACAGAAATTTGTGGTTATTCAGATGCTGATTGGGCAGGATCACCCTCGGACAGGCGCTCTACTTCTGGCTATTGTGTCTTCTTTGGAGGAAACTTAATTTCGTGGAAGAGCAAGAAACAACCTGTTGTTGCTCGATCTAGTGCAGAAGCTGAGTATCGTGCAATGGCAAATGCTACCTGTGAGTTAGTCTGGTTAAAGCAGTTGATTCAGGAGCTTCATCTTTGTGAACAGAAACAACCCATGACACTCATCTGTGATAATCAAGCTGCGCTACATATATCCTCTAATCCTGTCTTTCATGAGAGGACCAAACATATAGAGATTGATTGTCACTTCATTCGAGAAAAGATTCAGTCAGGAGAAATCAAGACTGCTTTCGTCAACTCCTCTGATCAACTAGCGGATGTTTTCACTAAAGCTCTTAGAGGTCCTCGGGTTGAATACATTTGTAACAAGCTTGGTGCTCATAATATATACGCACCAGCTTGAGGGGGAGTGTTAGAATATTAGATATGATATGATTAGATATGATTGGATTCCGTCTTATCTGTAAATATTCTGACTGTATTCTGACTGTATTAGGATTAGGTTTGGGCCTTTCACTTAAGCCCATTAGGGTCTCTATATATTGTAACTCTGACACAGATCAATACACAACATATTATTCTTCTATTATTTTATATTCAAGTAGAAATATATGTTGCCCTTTTCAATCATGAAGTTGAAATGATTGGTTAATTGCTTCAAATTTCAAAATTATACTTGTCATTCTTTGTAGTGGAAATATGGAGTTTTATCTAAAAGTCTTTACCCTTAGAAACACTGCTTTGATTAACATAATTTTATTGAATGTACCATTAAATTTTCTTCCAAAGCCTGATTAGTGGTCTACAACTTGAATGATATTCCTAGATTGAGGAAGAAGAAAGAAGACTTGAAGCGGCAATTGAAGAAACAGAGAGACAGAATGCTGAAGTAAATGCTGAACTGAGGGAACTAGAGTTAAAATCTAGCCGCTTTAAAGAATTGGAGGAGAGGTATGTTTTTCCCTGTTCCTGAACCACATAATATTTCCTAATAAAACAATGTCATAACTCAAGATGCTTAGAAATTACCCCCTACCCTCCAACCCCAAAAGAAAATTTCTATGTTTAAAGGTAGATTTTTGTTTTTTCTCTTCTCTTTTGTGTGTGGATGTTTGATGTCAATTTTGATTTCATCTTTCTGAATTTGTTACAGGTATTGGCATGAATTCAATAATTTTCAGTTTCAATTAATTTCTCATCAGGTTTGTCAGCAGTTTTTTTTTTCAACCCTTGCATACCATCTCATATGGGAAAATTTATTCATGCAAGTTTTTTGTTTCTTCATGACTTAAGCTAGTTTGGGTGAGTTCTAAAGGACTATTGGTTCAAACTACAAACATGGTTTTTTTGTTTGTGTTATCAACTAGTATATCTACTTCTGCTATCTTTACTGGCGAAATGTAGTCACTGATTACATGGAGGAAATAAAACTGATTATATATATTATCATCAGAGGATCATGCTTTATGAATGAAATTTAAAGTTTGACCAGATTTTACAAAATGTCTTATGTATAATCTTCATGTGGGATCATTTATTGAGATACTTATGTAACTACAGTTTTAAGCAAGCTGCAGAAAACTTTGTCTCCTTTTTTGGAAAAAAAATAAAAAAAGAACTTTCAAGTCTGAGCATTGAGCCAAAACACTTTAATTAACAGGAGGAGAGAGACGCAATTTTGGCAAAAATTGAAGTTTCACAAGCACATTTGGAATTGTTGAAGCGAACAAATGTGCTCAATGATGCCTTCCCCATTTCTCATGATGGAGAGTTTGGAACAATTAACAATTTTCGACTTGGAAGACTCCCTAAAATTCCAGTAAGATTCCTAGCATACTGTATTTTTTTTTTAATGTTGTGTCAATGTGTAGTTGAGCTTCATATGCATGGCTGGGTTTCTTCCTTGGTAGCTTAGGCCTTTAATGTTTAAAGGAATTGATGAGCTAACGTGGCATATGAGCAAGATTGTTTAGAAGGTCATTGGTTTGAGTTACTTTCTTTGTAATGATCTCAATACTATTCTCTTTGTTTTATGCTGTGCTTTGCTCAATTTTCTTCTCCAGGTGCACTTGCATATGGGTGAATTGAGCATATTATATGTGGTTCTTTTGTTTGGTATCAGATTAAGCTTTAGGGATGATTCGGCAATCTAACAATTTACATTACTGTATGCATTCCCATATATTCACATTCATATGTTTCATCATAGGTAAAAAATTGTCCAACTCAGTGTTACATGGTTTGCTCAAATCCTGTATGCACCGTGTTTGGGAATGATCTTACCCAAACACAGGTGGTTTTTGACCCAAAACGTTGTTGTGACTTGTGAGCATTCCAAGCTTAAACATAATAGCACTAAAAACAAGTACAGTAGCTTGTGTTAACGAAACAATGAATGGAAGACTGAAAGAGAAGACAAGGTGCACTGAATTGCAAAGGACACGGAAAGAAGAAACAGTCATCGGCTGAAATGTAGAAGAAGATGAAAACCTAATCTAATACCCGAATTCAACAAATGCACAGTTTTATTTAGCTTCTCTCTTCCCTTTTTTTCTTTTTGGTTGAAAGCTTCTTTCTGTTTTTAAGAAATATATCCTACTGTAGTTGTATTCTAAAGATGAATTAATAGGCTTTAGGGTTTAATATTTTGAATTTGGCCGGTCTAGTCACATTGGAGAAAAAACCGCTTATAATTTACGTATAAAAGTTAGTGAGTTAACAATATACTTTAAAAAAAAAATGTAAAATAGAAAAATAATAATTATGGACCATGGTTAGTTTTCTAAAATCAAATAATGGGCCTATTCATAATTTTTTTACCACATAATAATATGGTTTGAAGTTCATGCATATTGATCCTATTTTAAAGGAATTTTGATCCTAAAAGCAATCTGATTAAGTCTACCCCTCTATTTAGTTTACCAAAAAAGTTCAGCTATTATGGAATATCAAGAACATCTAGGTCTATAAATGGTGTTGATAAACTTTTGCTACTTTTATTTTTAAAAAAAAATCCTTTTCCAACAAAATATCATTTTCTTTGAGTAATTATGTCTGAAAGTGCTTTTTGAACAAGACAACTATTATGGAATATGGATAACTAATGAAGGCGTAATCCTTTCAAGTTTTTTGGTGTGTGCACTTATGTTTTGCTATGTTCCTTCATAAAATAATGTTGTAGCTGCTTGTGTCCTTTTCTTTTTTGATGATTGGAAGATGTAGTTATAATTTTTTATCCTGAAAAATTTCCCCCTGTATATCTTAATCTTGAATACTTTATCTTGCAAGTTTGAAGACTTTTTGATTATGGTGTTTGCTATTTATAAAATGTTTAGGTCGAATGGGATGAGATAAATGCTGCCTGGGGCCAAGCTTGCCTTCTCCTTCATACAATGTGCCAGTATTTCCGACCAAAGTTTCAGTATCCTTTTTCATTCAGCATATAGGATTAATATAATTTATTATTGTTAATTTAGTTGAACTTCTCTTTTATGTTCCCACATAAAAAGAAATTCATGCGTTAGTGAATCCATTTCAGAACAAGATTTTACATTTAACAGTGGGCATGTTATATGCATGAGATGTTAAGTTATGGTGATCAAAATCATCGATATTAATATGGTTTCTAGTTGAATTCATATTTTATAGAAAACTGAAACTTGTAAAATTCTATTTGATTTTGTGTCCCAAGCTAACATTTTCATATTATTGTCACTTTACCATTTACATATAATTTATTGGGAATGACTTGTAACATGTCCTAAACTCATTACTTTTTAGATATCGAATAAAAATAATTCCAATGGGTAGCTACCCTCGTATCACAGATGGCAACAACAATACTTTTGAGCTGTAAGTATGCTACACGGTGCCATTTTTGTAGTTGTTTGCGTGTTTGTGATTTCTGACTTTAATTGGAATATAGAATTTGATGTGGGTTAAAGTTGAGCCAAAAACTTTAAGTATAATGTGTGAAGGGAAATCAAATATTTCAGCTGATTGGTTGATATCAATTTCAAGTTTTCTGCATTTTAGTTTTGTTACTTCTTTTATTTAATTAAACAAGAAGCAACTCAAAAGCTTAAGCTGTTGGGTGAGGTTACCTTAATGGTTTAATATATCTCTAACACGCCCCCTCACACGAAAGCCCACTGAGCTTAAAGAGTGGATAATGCATCAGGCCCAGCTCACCCGTTCTAAGAAATTCCACAAAACTTAATTAATTATTAATTAAATGGAGGGTGGTGAGGATCAAACACGTGACACCGAGGCTTTGCTACTATGTAAAGAACCAATTCAACCCAAAAGTTTAAGATGTTGGGTGCGGTTACATTCATGGTTTTATACTTCTCTAACAAGCTGCTTTGGTGTTTTTATAATATTTTGGGCCATGCCATTACCCTTGGCTCTGTTTCTGTACGTTTGTGGTGAGATTATGGTTGGTGTTGGTTATACTAACATAAAAAGTTCCAAACGAAATAATTTAATGAACTTTCTTGTTTTAGATTTGTTCTTAAACTTGTCTACTAAGTCATTATTACTGGATGCTACGGTTTTTCAGGTTTGGTCCAGTCAACTTGTTTTGGAGTACTCGCTATGACAAAGCAATGACATTGTTTTTAGCATGCCTCAAGGATTTTGCAGAATTTGCCAAGTCTAAGGATCAAGAGAATAACATACCACCCGAGAAATGTTTCAAACTACCTTATAAGTAAGTATTTTTGAATATAATATATTTATTAGTGGTAGTCAATTTTTTTGAGGGTGAGCTTTATGACTGAAAGGTCCGTGGGTTTGAATCCGGAAAGCAGCCTCTTTGTAAAACAAAGGTTAGACTGCTCAATACAAGTATTGTCCTCTCCCCTTCCCTAGTTGGTTGGGGTTTAATGGGGGCTGGTATTTTTATATAGTGAATTTTCTCTTTGGAAAGTGTGAGCTTTGTCTTGGATGAAGAGAAAATTTGCATTGGTGCCATGAAGTTCCATTGTTCTTAAGTTAAGCAGTTTATGCCATTTTCCTAATTGATGGTGGACAGAAAAGGATGATGGTTTTATGAGGTTTTACTCTGAGATTGTCTTTGAGAGAATATTCTGATTGCAGGCATGACTTAGGATCTTGATTAGCGTATTGTGTGCTTAGTCATGGCTTAATGGAATTTATGGTATCTTGGAACTTAATGCTAGAGATTCACAACCCTCGAATTCCCTCTCTAGAGAGGAAGAACAAAGAAACAATAATGAAGTCAGCTATGTGTCCATTTTCTGTTCTGCTACACTTGTCTGTTTCCTCCATCTTGCATTTGTCTTTCGAGCACACTTTCTCTCACTTCTGGCTGCTTTCCTTCTCAAATCTACTGATCTGATATGGGTTTCACTTCTCACTGCCTCTACCAGCCTCATCGCCAGTATCTGACTACCGAAGATTCGACACTTCCAGATGTGTGACCGCACATGCCACACATTCATCCTCTTACATGTGTGCTTTATCTCGCCCATGAGGGCATGCCTCTGTCTTTTTCTAGCCGCTGCTTTTGGCCCTCTCCAATCAGTCTATCCTGCATCCTTTGTTTGCCTTTGTTGAGCCCAGGTTGTATTTTTAAAGTGTTAATTTGAAATAAGCTTAAAATTTATTGAGTTTTAACGTGAGAGGTATTGTTGGAGTATTTAGAAAATATCTCATAATATCATTATTTTATCAGAATATTTTAGAGTAGCTTAGATGATCTCTTAGGAGTGGTTTCCTGATTTTGTTATATTTCATGATTTGTTTCTTTATTTGATTAGGATATAGAGTCTAAATAGAGACTACTGCTCTTAAGAGATTATTATTAGAAGTATCCTTTCTATCTCTGAGCTTGTTTCTCAAATCTGCAAAAGGAACAGGTGACAATGACTTGGTGAGTGTATCAGCAAGTTGATCTGCTGGGAGACCAGAATATCTTTGATACCATATTAGAATTTGATCAAGAGAAAACGTGAGAAAGTAAATGAAAATGTAGGAAAGTGAGGAGTGAGAGAATTCTGAAGAAGCAGCATTCTGTTACTATATTTTGAATGAATTTATCAACCAAAACACTGAGAGAATACAAGCTGCATTTATAGATCTGTGACTGACCCAACTATGAGTCAGCACACTAACTAATTAGAAATTAAAATTTAACAGAAGAAAAACTAACAGATTAAGAAGTAATCATCTGATACATCAAGGCCTAGGCTAATACAATAATCTGAGAAAGCTAAAGCTACGCAAATACTTTCTTTCTTTTCCTTCTTTCCTACATAGACCATATAATTTCAAAAAAATTCGTGGTGTTTTTTTAGGAGTTCAAAATTGACTTAAATAACATAAATCTTCAAATAAATGAAAATTTACTTTCATTTGCAAAACTTTATTATGCTTTGATGAACTTTTTAGTATTATGGATTTCGTTGAATTGTTATATCCGATTTTTTTTTATTATGCTTATCGTATTAGTTGTTCTTGCTAATTTATTAAGACAGTTAAACAATAATTTGTGAGGATTATATATACTGTACGTCTCTGACTATCATGTGTTATTTTGTTGCATTGAGAATAACAAATATTTTGGGCTGATTTGTAGAATTGAGAATGACAAAGTGGAAAACTATTCCATCACTCAAAGCTTCAATAAGCCGGAAAATTGGACCAAAGCTCTCAAGTACACTCTTTGCAATTTGAAATGGGCTCTCTATTGGTTTGTTGGAAATACGAACTTCCAGCCTCTTTCAGCAATGGTATCTTCAAATGCTGAAGTGCCAGCTGTAGGATCTTTGTACATGAAACGCGGTACTGAAGCTAAGTCTGAATCTCGACACTAGAGATATTCTTGGATTTAGGCAACACACTAATGTGTTCATAGAACTATGTTCTCTTTAGAAGTCCATAGAAATGTAGATTGTATCACAAAATATCCAATACAAATAGCATATGTTCTATTCTATTTAACAATATTGGAATTAATCTAGTCTATTTTGTTGTCAAAATGCAATATCCGTTGTGCATTTGTTTATTGGAAATCGTGATATTATTCACTACGTAATTAAATCTTGATCCTTGGTTCTTTTATAAATATCCAATACAAATAGCATATGTTCTATTCTATTTAACAATATTGGAATTAAGCTAGTTCTACTAGTGCTAGGTGCTTGCGGTATATACTTTTACTAGTAGAATCTGTGATCCTTGGTTCTTTTATAAATTCTGAACCTTCAGCTAGTCAAGGGTTGGTTTTTTTTTTTTCTTGGGATTAGAGAGGTGACAAAATTATCCATATATAAATCAAATTCAATCCTCAATTTATCAAATCAAAGATGATATATTGACCAACATCTAAGTTAAGAGTATTGAAAATGAGATAAACCAAGTAATGAATATTGATTCTAATTTATTAGAAAATTAATTTAGGACTTAATTAGGGACAAAGTGTTTGGCTCGAGAAGAGAATCAAATGAATTAGAAAGGTGGTGTTCTGCTTGATTTCACTCGCTTTTATTGGGTGCGGGATCAGGATGCACTGCATTTTTTTAACCGCTTGTACAGAAATATTTGGGCTTATGATAAGCAAATAAATATTTGGGCTTTCAGCCCTCCTTGGGCAGAAAAAAATGGTGATGCGAAAATATAATTAAATAAAAACGATTCAGGGTTATTTTTTTTTTATTTTTTTTGCTAAAGGGGTTATATTTTATTTTATTTTTCAAATAAATAGGATTTTGTTATAATGTTTTTAATTATATGAAATGCTGTTAAATCGTTTCCTAAACATGTGATATATAAAACAATTTAATATAATATAGGGAAAAGATATACTTATCACCAAAAAAATTTAACACATTTACAACCAACTTAATCGTTGTTGATTTCCGTTAATCTAGCGGTTATAATTTATTAGAAATTATTGAATCGTATTTATTAATTAATTATTAATTCCCAATAAATTATAACCATTAGATTGACGAAAATCTACGGTGATTAGGTTGATTGTAAAGGTGGTAAATTTTTTTCGTAGTAGGTATATCCTGCCCCTTTAATATATGCTCAATTTATTAAACTTGATTTCATCATCATACACATAAAGCAAGAAGTGTAGCAAGCGGGAATTGATTGAAAGAAAAAAAAAATATTAGTCATTTACGTTCATATTTCAAGTTTTTGTTATTTTATCATATAACATTACCATTTTATATTACGCATTTATGATTTTAATTTATATAATTTTATTTTTTTATTATTGTGAAGGATTCAAGATTAATAAATAATCAAATAAATAAATACAAATAATATATTATAACTTGGCATCATTAAAAACTTAGTGGTTACGTATGTATAGAGATATGAATCGATCGAATTGAATTGAATCTATAAGGAAAAACAGACAAGAGGAAAGTAAAGAAACGTTATAATATACGGAAAAAAGAGAAATCCTACATCATCTTCTGCCACTTGTTCCTCATGCAAACAGAAAGGGACGAAAAACACCTCATGATACATAACCATTCACACTATTTACACACTCTTTTGAATCAAACAAACATGAATCCAGCTTTGCTTCCCGTTTCTTTACTTAACTTTCTTTGCAATAGCCTTTTTTGTTTTTGTTTTTTTCAAATAATTTCTAAATGCCAAAAGATGCTTATTGATTAGAGTGCATAATTATAATTTGTAGCATGAAAAAGCAATGTTCAAACATGATAATCCTGAGAGAGCGTTAACTCCAAGGGAGTCATTGGCACTATAAATTGTGATGAAAGAAATGTTCATTATCATATATTACTTCGAATGATACATAGCTGAGAGAGAGAGAGAGAAAGGAAAGCTTAATTAAGCACTTCAATGGCCACCCTTGTTGTTCCTAACCAAACTTCTCCTGTTGAAGATGCTGAGGCTCTCCAAAAGGCTTTCAAAGGTTTGAACCAATTTCACATTTTCAAAAAAAATAAATTTGTTTTTATTTGATGCTTCGTGATAATATTGTTAATTGATTATTATAATCAATGCTTAAAATGTGATTATGAGCTTACCCTTTGTGTGCTGTATCCTTGATTAATTAATTAATGTTCCTGATTCTTTATTTGGTGATTTTTTTTATTTAGATTTTATTATGATGGAAAATATTTAACTGAACCATTTCCAATGTTCTTGTTATATTAAAGCATTGGGTGCTGTACCATACTGATTAATATGCCATTATGTGTACGAGCATTGTTCTCTGTTTGTTGAAGTTCCAAAATCTTAACCACCAGTAAATGGTTGAATCACTGGCCCAAGGACAGACAGAAAAGATTATGGTATATAGACGGAAATGGATACAATCATAAATAACCATAAAAAAATAAATCAGCGACCTATTTTAATATTTTTTTTCTGTTTTTTTTATTATCATTGATCTATCTTTGTATGAATATGATTATCCACGAGACCATGTCATATCTTTTTCAACACGAGACTGCCAATATAGACATAGAAGGAATCCGAAGAGTAATTGACACAACTGCTACAGTTTTTATTATTTTTATTATTGTTTTGTTTCTACATAATTTTTTAAATTTTGTTCTTCATAATTGATTAAACAAAAATCTTCCTGTTCTTCATAATCAAATAAAAAATAAATACGCTAAATGATAGTAACTCAGTTGGCATCAGATAATTGAACAGGTGAGGGTGAGAGCATGTGATTGATCATCTCCAATATCGTCTTTGAGAGAGGTTTAAAGCCTTAATTACAGAACCCGCTCCGAATCAGACTAGTCGTGAAATGATAAATCGATTGGAATATCTTAAAAAAAAAAAAAATAGTTAAACAAAATTTATTTTGTATTTTATTTTTTAAAAATAAAAAAATATTTTCAAAAGCAGAAATCAAACTACCACCCAATGGGTGCAGCTCAGTTGGTAATTTGGCGCTGAGTTAGTGGGGTTGGATATGTGTTCGATTCCCGCTGAATGCATTCTTGGGGAGGGGGCTGAACCTTTAGCCATCACTGTTCTCCCGCACTCCGGATTAGTCCCATAGCCGACTCAAAAAGTCGAAGCTCGTGGGAATATCGGAGGGAGCCAACTCGTCTCAAAGAGATAATTAGGATTGGGTAACTCAAAAAAAAAAAAATCAAACTACCTTTAAGTTTGCTCTTCCCTTATATAAAACTGAAGATGTACACTAGTGATGAAAAGTTTATAGATGGAAAGCCACATACATTCTAGCAAATCCCCTTAAAATATTACTTGTAAGTACCAATTTATTGATTCTACCTAGAATATGTAGCGTCAGATCATGAATGTAAATCTACCTGGAATATATTCTGTTCCCTTTGAATAAAAACTTAACTATGTGGTTAATGCCTATCCAAAAAATCCTAAAACAACTCATTGTATATTTCCAAGACCTTGATATTAACGCAAGAAGAAAAAAACAAAAACAAAGTACTCTCTGGATACCAATACAGGGAACACGTGTAGCTACAGATTCTTCAATTTTCTAATGACTTTAGGCCCCAAATATACAATGTTACAAAATCTTCTTGCGTGGCATAGCTCTGAAGTCTGAACAAACAGGGACGCGGAAAAAGCATAGCACTATTGATTATTTAATTACTTATACGATTTTATCAATATCATGTTAAAAGAAATAAGTTATTTTATGTCATAAAAATAAATTTGTGGACTCCATTATCTAAAAAATAAAAAGAAAAAGAAAAAAAAGATGACACAGTTATCGAAGGATGTATAGAAGAGAAAATTATTACATGTAACATAAAAATAATTTTTCCCTTACTTATATGGGTTTAAAATTTGTGGATATAATTTGTATTTTTTAGTTTTTAACATTATGTATTACGAATATATAGTTATAATATAATTTTTTTTTTCTCTTTTTATGTTAGTTGAAGTGATTGTAGAGAGAGAAAATAAATAAATTTTTTATATTATAACTATATATTATGGGTTTATTTTTTCTGATGTTATTTTAGATAACTTTATCTAATGTTCATCAAAACGACGTCGTTTTGGGACGGAAATCATGGTATTTTTGTAATTTTAATTTATTTCAGGGTTATAATAGTCTTTATCATTCTAATTTTTTAATTTTTCGACTCTAAAACGACGTCGTTTCGATGAACATTAGATAAAGTTATCTAAAATAACATCGGAAACTTTTTTCCCGTATATTATCTATAGTATTAAAAATTAAAATAACACAATTGTGTGAAAACCTTTTTCCCTAATTATATATAGAAGAGCTGTTTAGCTAAACTTCATCATAACCAGCACATAGTATAGTTGGTGAAAATATATTCAACTATGGCTACCCTTATTGCTACCAGCAACCATTCCCCAGTTGAAGATGCAGAAGCCCTCCGAAATGCTTTCAAAGGTCTTATTATTTCACTAACCATTTCATAAAAAAAAATTAATTGGCTGTTTTATGAATTTGCTTTTGATTTTCCTTCTATCATTTTAATGTAAATTTATGTTCTGTTTTCATTATAATGGATCACTCTGATGCATGGTATCTTATACAAGATTGTGATATTTATATTTAATGGTTTTCAACTCCGCAGGATGGGGTGCTGATGAGAAGGCCATTGTAGCAATATTGGGTCATAGAAATGTTTATCAGAGGCAACAAATTAGAAAAGCTTATGAGGAGCTTTTCCAAGAGGATCTTATCAAACGTCTTGAGTCTGAGATCTCTGGTGACTTTGAGGTATACCATTAATTAGAACATGGTTTTGCCAATTATTTCATATAGTTTTTGCATAATCTTTTGACTATAAATAATGGGGTCTATACAAATCAGAGAGCTGTGTACCGTTGGATGTTGGAACCTGCGGATCGTGATGCTGTTTTGGCCAATGTGGCAATCAAGAATGGCAACAAAGAGTTTCATGTGGTTGTGGAAATTGCTTGTGTACTTTCAGCTGAAGAGCTTTTGGCAGTGAAGCGTGCCTATCACAACCGTTACAAACGTTCCTTGGAAGAAGATGTGGCAGCTAATACCACTGGCCATCTTCGCCAGGTAAGTCATTTCCTTCATTGAAATGGATCCTCTAATGTGATATGAGATCATGTGAGCTGGTTTCAGCCGTTCAAATACAAATCAAAAAAATGGTTATAATTTTCTTTTTTTTCTTTTTTTTTTATCATTCTCTCATCATCGTTGATTTGTATTTGAATGTAGATATTATTTCACATGACCTTATATTGAAGTTTATTGATGAAATTTTTGAGGTGTACTAATGATCTGAGTCTATGGTTGATTTTGAGCAGCTTTTGGTTGGATTGGTGAGCACATTTAGGTATGAGGGGGATGAGATCAATGCAAGATTGGCACAAACTGAAGCTAACATTCTTCATGAAACTGTCAAGGAGAAGAAAGGAAACTATGAAGAAGTCATCAGGATCCTTACTACAAGGAGCAAGACTCAACTTGTTGCAACTTTCAACCGCTACAGAGATGAGCATGGCATTTCCATCAGCAAGGTACCAAAGGAGAAGAGCCTTTTTCTTTCTTTCTTTTTATTTTCTTGGGGTTTAATTTTGTGTAGTTGTGGCAGAAAAAGGTTGTCTGCCACTCTCACAAAACAAGGAGTGGGTCTTACAAAAAAATAATTTATTTCAAATTTACATTATGTACTATCGGTAGTATATAATATGTGGCAAATAAATATTTCTGCCACGACTGCATAAATGTTTTTCTGTATTTTCTTTTAACCATTGCCTTGTTCCTCAAAATTCTTATTGTATTCTTAACTAGTTGTTCTCCACTTTTTTTATCCAAAACAATTGAAAAGAGAAATTTTTATGAACTTATTTTATATCATCTCCGCAGAAATTGTTGGATCAAGCATCAGATGACTTTCACAAGGCATTTCACACAGCTATTCGTTGCATTAATGACCATAAGAAGTACTATGAAAAGGTCAGGTTCTCACTTCCTTTCTGCAAGTGTGAAGCAACATTGACAAAAGAGTAATATTATATTATTTGTTAGCTAGAAAATAGACATATTTTTATTATATTTGTAACTGAATGCACCTCATTTGCTAAGTTTTTCTCTATGATCCATAACATCTCCTTTACAAACTTTTTGATTTTTTAGATAGTTAGAACTCTTTTTTGCATCATGAATAAACAATCCATGTTATTCTTATATTGAAATTAGAACTTAAAACCCTCAAGTTAGACTCTGTGCTTTAACAATTAGAATGTTCAAGATAATAGAATCAATAACATTTCATATATTAGGATTCATCACGAAAATTTTCCATTATGTATAGGTTCTGCGCAATGCAATCAAAAGATTTGGAACTGATGAGGATGGACTCAGCCGTGTGGTGGTGACAAGGGCTGAGAAGGATCTGAAGGACATCAAAGAGATCTACTACAAGAGAAACAGTGTTCACCTTGAGGATGCAGTGTCCAAGGAAATCTCAGGGGACTACAAGAAGTTCATCCTCACTCTCTTGGGGAGACAAGACTAAAGTACTTGTTCTATGGGCATATCTAGTGATGGGTTTGGGTTATCTTGGTTTCTGGTTGTGTCATTTCATTTCATTAGGTTCATTTCCCAGTTAAGAGTCTGTTTTACAGAGTTTTGTCTCTATTATCCTTCTTGTGTGTGACAACTTAAACTTCTATCTTTGCTTAATTGATGGCATGTATGGTGTTTCATTTGGGTTATATTGGTATGCTATTTACTTAGCTTCATAGGAGAGTTGTTTTTTTGCTATTAGTAACCTTTCGATTTTCGTACAATATTTTCTTTTATTTTTTTATTTTTTTAATAGATAGGAGCCCCATATAAGATGTGTCTACAACATGAAAAAAATTTCTCGATTCTACCGCACGAGAAAATCGAAACTCTAAAACTATATTAACTTTGTGTCCTTCGTTATGAGTTCTAATTAGCAGAGGAAAGCTCAAGGATTAAAATTAAAAGTTCTGTAACTAAATTCTGATTTCTTTTTGGACAAAAAATAAAGGGTACACAAACAGGTCTAGTTTGAGCTTTCCATGAATACATATAGGGGACACAAATTTATCCTTTTCAAAGGATATAACCTTGTGTCATTTTAGATAAAACGACGACGTTTTAGTGCATAATTGATAATTTTTTACATTATCTCTCCTTCATAAAATTAGGAAGAGAGAAAGAATGTGACGGAGAGAATGTAAAAAATCATTTAATCATTTTAGATGAAACGATGCAGTTTATATATATATATATATAGAGTTTAGTGAGTGTGTTAGATCCTTTTAACAGTTTTAACTATGCATTCTCGAGAATACATAGTTAAAACTGCTAAAATAACATAAACTTGTGTCATTTAAAATGTCATTTTTTTTCCATATATATATATATATATATATAGGGGTAGGATTCTTTGACACCGGTGTCAAATTTGAAGTTTGACACCTCATCTGAGAGCCGTTAGATCAAAAAAGATCAACGGTATCACATGCCTACAAATCAGATTCATTGATCTTTTTTGATCTAACGACTCTCAGATGAGGTGTCAAACTTCAAATTTGACACTGGTGTCAACGGATCCTACCTCATATATATATATATATATATATATATATATATATATATATATGAGGTAGGATTCTTTGACACCGGTGTCAAATTTCAAGTTTGACACCTCATCTGAGAGCCTTTAGATCCAAAAAGATCAATAGTGTCACATGCTTACAAATCAGAGTCGTTGATCTTTTTGGATCTAACGGCTCTCAGATGAGGTGTCAAATTTCAAATTTGACACTGATGTCAAAGGATTCTACCTCTCTATATATATATATATATATATATATATATATATATGGAAATATTTTTCAAGCTGGTTTAATTTGATTCAAACTTATATATATGGAAATATTTTTCAAGCTGGTTTAATTTGATTCAAACTTGTTAAACTTATATTGGAGCAGCTCTTCTAATATTATTTTCTCTATTTTCTGTACTTAAATTTGAGACATCTCTTGAATAAAAAAAAATTCCTTATCGTTTGAACTAATTATAAACTCGAGTCCTGTGTTCAAGGAAATTCCTTACCACTTGAAACCATGATCATGATCGTTGGTTCCATAATTCAACCTTTAGTTGGTGGTTTGGTGGTTTTCAACATTACGGCTACGGGTATTTGCATATTTTTTTACTATCTGCTTCCAGTTATTTTAGTCTTTTCAAATGAACATAAGGGACCATGAAAACGTTATTTATGAAATTTACTACAACATTAGACAGAAGATAATAAAATCAGGCGCACGTTAAGGTAGGAGAATAGTTGTGCAGATTCCTAACCTCTTTTTTTGTCAGATACTGTGCAGATTCCTTAGCTGCTTCGCAAAGAATTTAAACTTTGGTCAAGCTTCACGTGTTATTGAGAAATCAGTCAGATAAGATTAGGATAATTAATGTTAGCGCGAGATACGCTCATTTCTAAGGTTACTTAGGATTTATACAAAAAGGGGTGGAATTAACGAGAATAAAATAGAATGATATTAATTGTTACTATTTGAATTGTTTAAAATAAAGTGAAATACAATGAAAAATGATAGAATTTGTTTTATTCAATATTCTTTATTTTTTATTTAATTTCTAGGGGTATGGGGATAGAACCAATTTATTTATTCGTTTTGTAGCAAAGTAGATTCAGAAGTAGAAAAAAGCGGGAAGAAGAAGAGGGCAAGAGAGAAAGAGATTTGTGAAAGCTTTTCTGATATCTTCTCTATTCATCAATTAGAATTATATAGTACTTGCTACAAGAAAACTGATAGACTACTATAATGGGTCATAACATCAGATTGTAATATTAAAGAGCCCAATAATCATTTAATCGTCTGGGCTGTTGTGCTGCTCTTTTGGGCCTAGTCGCTACATTGCCTACCCCATCAAGATGGACCTTGTCTGCATAGTTCTTACTGGCCCGTTTGTCAATTGCTTGGGATCTAGGGTTAGCCTCATTACTAACACCCAAGGTGGACCCAGGAGGTTGGTGGGATGGGATAAGATCAGCTTGCATCTGATTAGTGGGATGTTCGGTGTCTTGCTCCTTATTGGTAGTCGAAAAGGTGAGATTCCCACTAGTGTAAAGGGAAGCCTCTTTTGCTTTCCCAAAGTCTTCCTTGCACAGCTCTCTTTCATCTTCCCAAGTTGCGGCTTCCGGAGGTAAATCAGACTATTGCACAAGAGCTTGGGGTATCTCAACCCCTTTTCTCCATATGGTTCGATTCGCCACCACAGCTATTGGTGTATGGCGTGGCAGAACCTCCGTCATTTTATCTGGAAGGTTATGCAATGTGTACTGTCGATCCGCCAAGAATGGTTTCAGCATGAAAACATGAAAAATAGGATGTACCTTTGAAGCTTCCGGCAGCTTGAGTTTGTATGCTACAGCACCTACTCTCTCTAGCACTTCAAAGGGTCCAAAGAACTTAAGGCTCAACTTAGCAGAGGATCGACGAAATATCGAAACTTGGCGATATGGTTGCAGACGAAGCAGGACCAGATCTCCCACGTCAAAGGTGATGTCTTTCCTTTTCTTATTAGCTGAATCCTTCATAAAGTTTTGTGCTTTTCTCAGATTCTGTTTTAGTGTACCCATGATTTGTGATCGGAAACGAAGATCTAAGTCAACCGCTTCCAATTGGCTCGTGCCTAAGGAATAGTGGACCATGCAAGGTGGGGATCGTCCAAAGGTGGCTGCAAAGGGAGAGGATCCCAGCGAACGGTTGAAAGCAGTATTGAAGTGGTACTCGGCACAACTCAGATAGCGAGCCCAGGAGGATGGTTGGTCATGCACAAAAGCCCTCAGGTATTGTTCCAATACTCTATTGGTACGTTCTGTTTGGCCGTCGGTTTGGGGGTGATATGATGAACTGAAGCTAAGGGTTGTGCCTTGTAGCTTGAACAAAGCAGTCCAGAACTCACTCAAAAATAGAGGATCTCGATCTGAAACGATAGATTTCAGAGGATCATGCAACTTCCCAAAGTTATCCCAAAAGACTGAGGCCACCTTAGCAGCTGTATAACGCTGTGGCAGAGGGGCGAAATATGCTCCCTTGGTCAGGCGGTCACAAACCACAAAAATTGCAGTGTACCTATCCGAAGGTGGCAAATGGGTAATGAAATTCATGCTAAGGTCAGACCAAATAGCATCTGGAACAGGAAGGGGCTGTAGTAGTCCATAAGATGCGTGATTCGCTGCTTTAATCTTTTGACATGTTTCACAGTTCCTGATATAAGTCTTAACGTCTTGCCTTACTGTTGTCCAGGTGAAATTGGTACAAAGACGAACCAAGGTCCGATGGTTACCGGCATGACCACCCAAGGTGGATGAATGGAACTCGGCCAGTAGCAGAGGAATTAACGTGGATCCAACTGGAATAAAAAGACGTCCTATGTGATACAAAAGATCATTTTTAAATTGCCAGTGTGGCCAATTAGAATTTCCAGCTTGTAATTCTGTAATGATTTTTGTAGCATAGGGATCTTGTAATAATTCTGCTTGTAATAAGGACCCATAAGTAGATACTGGGCCCGTGAGGGCTGCAAATTGAGGGTTGGAGCCCAACTTGTCATGTTCTGGGTGTCTGGATAAGGCATCAACAACCTTGTTAGCCTTTCCGGACTTGTAGACTATTGAGTAGTCATACCCCAGTAATTTAGATAGAAATTGCTACTGTTCAGGTGTCTGAATCACTTGAGTCATTAAACAATGTAGGCTATGGTGATCTATTCGAATAAGAAATTTGGCACCCAATAAGTATTGACGCCATTTAGCTATTGCAGACGTTAATGCAAACAACTCACGGATATAAGCTGATTTTCTTTGCATCTGTGGAGATAATTTCCTGCTAAAAAATGCAAGTGGGTGTTCCTGTTGGAGCAGGACTGCCCCAATTCCAACTCCAGAAGCATCAGCTTCAATAACAAAGGGTAATGAAAAATTTGGTAAAACCAAAGTTGGAGCAGTAGTCAGTAATTCCTTCAATCTGTTAAACGCCTGAGTGGTCTTAGGGGTCCAATTAAAACCTTCACGAGTCAGTAGATCAGTCAGGGGTGCTGCAATACTAGCATAATGTTGAATGAAACGTCTGTAGTACCATGAAAGACCTAGGAAAGCGCGAACTTGGGTTTGGCATTTGGGAATGGGCCACTCCTTGACTGCTTGCACCTTAGCCGGATCAGGATTTACTCATTCTTTGGAGATAACATGACCTAGAAATGCAACAGTGGTAGTTGCAAAACTGCATTTGGATCTTTTTGCAAAGAATTTGTGAATACGTAATATCAGCAACACCTGTGCAAGATGCTCCAAGTGGTCCTACAGTGATGGACTATAAACTAAAATGTCATAAAAAAATCACAACAAACTTACGTAAAAATGCTGCAAAGATCTCATTCATGGTGGCCTCGAAGGAAGAAGGGGCGTTGGTTAGGCCAAAGGGCATCACCAAGAACTCATAATGCCCATGA